ACCATGGTTGGCTTCACTTGGAAGCATGGAGGAAATGCTTGCTCTGTGTTGACCCTCCTCTTTGTAGACTGGACACTGGTTCAAGTCCATCTGGTGCAGTCTCCTCGGCCTCCTTGATCAAGAGGACAGGTGACCCACCACAATTACAGGACATTTTGAGAGATGCTCATAGTCCCCTGGAACTAACTAGTCAACCTAGGAGGGCAAGGAGCAAAAACTGTCCTTTATGTCCCTCTGACCAAATTATTATAGGCCTCAAAGTATGTCTGTTAAACATCCAAGAAGGTTAGTATGTGAATATTTTTAAAAATAGTATATATGCAGGGGGCTGGAGAGATGGCTTAGCAGTTAAGAGCACTGACTGCTCTTGCAGAGGACCCAGGTTCGATTCCCAGCACCCACATGGCGACTATGAACTATCCTTAACTCCAGTTCCAGGGGAATCTGAAACACTTCTGAACTCCAAGGCATTGCACGACACGGATGCATTCACTTACATGCAGGCAATACACTCATACATATAAAATAAAAATAATAAAGCTTTAAAAAAAATAGTATATGCAGAGATGGCTCAGTGTGTAAAGCACTTGCTATGCAAACATGAGTTCAAGCATTCAGATGTTCCAACCCCCCATCACTTGGGTTAAAAGGTGGACAGTAGGCTGGTGAGATGACTCAGCAGATAAAGGTATTTACTGTGCAAGCCTGGAGACCTGAGGTCAACCCCAGTACCTGTGTTAGGAGGAAGGAGAGAACCAACTACACAAGATTGTTTTTGACCTCCACATGTGCTCTCACACAATTTTAAAAATGCTGAGCAGGCATACTGGCCTATCTATAATCCCAGCACTTGAGAACCACAGGGGATTCCCAGAGGAAGCTGACTGACTAGACTAGAGGAATCAGCCATGTCTGTTCAGCAAGACACTCTGCCTCATTAAAGTGGAGATCAAAGGGGGTGCCTAGTGTCAACCTCTGGCCTCCATGTGTACTTGCAAATACACATTCACATACACTACATACACATACTCATACAAAAGAAAATAGTAATAGGGGCTGAAGAGATGGCTCAGCAGTTAAGATCACTTGCTACACAATCATAGAGACCAGAATTCAGATCCTAGCACCCACATAATGAGCTGGGTGTCCCTGAAAATATCTAACTCCAACTCTTAGGGATCTGAAGTCTTCTGGCTTCTCAGCATGCACAGGCTTATACTTGCACAGACACACAGAAATAAATGAAAGAAAAAGGTTCAAAGTATACGAGTGCTTTTTTTGTGCTTTTTTCATTCTTGCAGTTTTATTATCCTTAAAAAAAAAAAAACTGTCCTTTGTAAGTTGGCAATTTTTATTTATTTATTTATTTTTTGTCTTTTTGAGACAGGTCTCCCTGTAGCCCCAGCTGTCCTGGAACTCACTATGTAGACCAGGCTGTCCTGGAACTCACTTTGTAGACCAGGCTGTCCTTGAACTCACAGAGATCCACCTGCCTCTGCCTCCCAAGTACTGGGACTACAGGCATGTGCCACCACGCCCAGCAAGCAATTAATATTTTTAAAAGCAGTGAAATTAGCAGAAGTTTTCTATGAGGCTGAGCTTCCATGCCTTACTGAGCACTCAGTGTTGTGAACTATGACCTGTTACCCATGGACAGCAATGTATAAGAAATGATTTTTACTAAGAAACTGGTCAAAGTGGGCCTGATGGCACACACCTTTAATCCCAGCATTCAGAAAGCAGAGGCAGGTAGATCTCTCTGACTTTGAAGCCAGCCTGGTCTGCATAGAGTTTTGGGCTAGCCAGGGCGACACAGTGCAACCCTGTCTCAAAAAAATGAACTAGTCACTATTAAGTAGTCATTGTCACTATTTGACTCTTTTTTTTTTTTTTTTTAATTTTATGTGTATGTGTGTATTGCCTGCATGTAGGTAAGTGCACCTGTGTCGTGCAATGCCCGAGGAGGACAGAAGGCTGTTGGATCCCCTGGGACTGGAGTTACAGACAGTTGTTAGCTGCCATGTGGGTACTGGAATTTGAACCCAGGTCTTCTGCAAGAACAACCAGTGTTCTTAACTGCTGAGACATCTCTCCATCCCCACTATTTGACATTTTGAGCTTCTTGAAAAGATTTCTGATCTAACGCTAGTCCTAAGAATTGTGTAAAATCCAGGTATAGTGGCATGTGTCTATAATTCCAGCACTCAGGAGATAGAGGTGGGAGAATTAGTTCAAGGCAAGTCTTGAGAAACTGTCTCAAACCTTACCCTACTCCCACAAAGACTCTGTGTTAAGTGCTTAAACTGAAATAAATTTCAAGTATGTGGCTTCAGAAATGTGATTCAAAATCCTCATTTGATTTCTCTTTTTAGGAGGAGCTCTTGGATATAAAAGAACGCCCATATTCCAAACAGAGGCCATCATGCCTCTCTGAAAAATACGACAGGTATGATTGTCATTAAGAATTATGTTGTTGGGGGTGGGGATGGAGAGAGGGCTCAGCAATTAAGAGCACTGGCTACTCTTGCAGAGGACCCAGGTTCAATTCCTAGCACCTGCACTACAGTTACCAACCTTCTGTAACTCCAGTTCTGGGGATCTGACTCCCTCTTCTGGTACCTACAGGCATTGCACACATGTGGCACACTTACATATGTGTAGGTTAAAGACATCAAAATAAAAATAACTTTTTTTTTTTCTTCCAGAGCTGAGGACCAAACCCAGGGCCTTGCGCTTGCACTTCCTAGGCAAGCGCTTTACCACTGAGCTAAATCTCCAACCGCTAATAATTTTTTTTTTTTAATTAAAAAACATTTGGAAGGAGTTCTTTGGTAATATGAGTGAGGGAGGGATCTCAAGAATTAGGAACATAGACATCCACAACTAGGAATGAAATTAAGACTAGAAAATGTCTTGGTCAGAGTCATATAAAGAGCAGAACAAATATTTGAACCTAGTTCTCATCCCTGAGTCTTGAAGGTACTCCTGCAACACCTTGCTTTGGGGATGCTGGTTGAGGGGCTCTGAGCCCTTTGTCAAAGAACTATTCCCAGTAGCCTTACTGTGTCTTAGGTGCCTTTAGAAAAAGTAAAGGGCTTTAATGTGACGAGAATATAGCTAAAAACTGTCTCAAAATCTGTCATAACCCTGTATTGTATTTCTTATGGTTACCTTAGTAATTTCTTAATTTATGAAGGTGGGTGGTTCTTCTGTGTCTATGTTTAGTTTTTTGGTTCAGTAGGCCACATTCGTCCCCCACCCCAGTACTGGGGCTAGAACTCAGGACCTTACCCATGGTAGAGGAATACTCTTATTGAGCTACATCCTCAGCCTAAACAAAACTTTTTGTTTTGTTTTTGTTGAGACAGGGTCTCCATGTAGCCCCAGCTGGCCTGAACTTGCTCTGTAGACTAGGTTGGCCTCCATCTTACAGAGATACACCTGCCTCTATCTCCCAAGTAGTGAGATTAAAACTGTGTGCTACCACACCTGGCCTAAACATAGATACTTTTTTTAAAAAATTATTTTATGTGTATACTCATACAAATTACCTGCATGTATGTGAGTGCACCCGTGTCATACAATGCCTCAGAGATCAGAAGAGGGCTTCAGATTCCCCTGGAACTGGAGTTAAGGATGGTTCGTAGCTGCCATGTAGTGCTGGGAATCGAACCTGGGTCCTCTGCAAGAGCAATCATGCTCTTAACCGCTGAGCCATCTCTCCAGCCCCTAAACGTAGACACTTTTAAAACCTGTATATGTTGGGGACAGAGGCAGGTGGATCTTTGTGAGTTCGAGGCCAGCCTGGTCTACATAGTGAGTTCCATCCAGGACAGCTGGGGCTACAAGGAGACCCTGTCTCAAAAAAAGACAAAAAAACAAAAACAAAAAACCTATATATGGACTGTTCAGAGGGACTAGATGGATCACTGCATTCTCCTAATAGTGATACTGAAATAGTGGTTATTTTGAATGGCTTGGATTCTTCCTGCGTCTTAGATAGGCTTGTTTTGTTTGTTTTTCATTAAAACTGTAAAGCTTACCAGGCATGATGGCTCACACCTTTAATCCTAGCACTCAGGAGGCTGAAGCAGGTGGATCTCTGTGAATTCAAGGCCAGCCTGATCTCTTAGGAAAAAGAATTGAAATTTATCATTAAAGCTATTTTTCTTTGCATAAAATAAAATTATCCTGAGCAGAGATAATAGCTTTTAGGCTAAAATAGGTATTGTTCCTAGTGATCATACTAAAGAGATGTAGAAAAGAGAGTTTCACTCTGTTTCTCTTCTTTTGAGAATGAGAATTTGTTGGACTCTTAGACTCCAGGTAATCCTCAGAGACCCTAGGAGATAGATACTGTCTCCTCTGTTGTGAGGATTTGAGATGTGTTGACTGACTTTTTCAAGGAATGGTGATAGCTAAGGGTGAAAACTGGTTGAATCCCTGTAGATCTAATCCCCATCAAATAGAAAAGGAAAGAAAATTAAACTGGACATGGTAGTGCACACTTTTTTGGGGGGGGGGGGTCTTTTTGAGACAGGGTCTCCCTGTAGCCCCAGCTGTCCTGGAACTCACTGTGTAGACCAGGCTGGCCTTGAACTCACAGAGATCCACCTGCTTCTGCCTCCCGAGTGCTGGAATTAAAGGCATGTGCCACCATGCCTAGCAATTGTGCACACTTTTTTTTTTTGGTCTTTTTGAGACAGGGTCTGCCTGTAGCCCCAGCTGTCCTGGAACTCACTATGTAGACCAGGCTGGCCTTGAACTCACAGAGATCCTACTGCCTCTGCCTCCCAAGTGCTGGGACTACAGGGGTGCGCCACCACGCCCGGCTTGTGCACACTTTTAATCCCATTACTCAGGAAGAAGAGTCAGACAGGTCTCTGAGTTTGAGGCCAACCTCATCTACATAGCAAGTTCTAGATCAGTCAGAACTACCTAGTGAAATCCTATCTCATAAAAGAAAATTAAGAAGTATTCTACTTAGGGAAAAACTGAGACTGTACAAAGAAATTCTGGGGAAAAAAATACAGCAAACTTTGTAGTAGGGTGCTTTGGGTCAAAGGATTAAAACCACCTCTATTCTTACTGGGTCTTCAGTAAACTGAGTCATCAGTACTTAGACCATCTATGCAGACAGAAAAAGTTATTGTTGTCCCCCAGGGCTTATAGGCAACATGCTTCATTTATGTTCAGATCACTGGTTTTCAAGTACCTATTGGTGTTATGTGATCAGCAACAAAGTATTGTTGAAGAAATGTGTTTTTGTTTCATTTTTAAAAAGGGTAATCATTCTGAAGCAACCGTGAAGTTTTATATTTGAAGTTTCTATGTTACGTGAAGAAGTTTAGCAATTATAATTATTAGAGTTAACATCTGCACATGCTAACTGTTGCTGTCTTTTGGCCTGTAGTGATGGTGTCTGGGATCCTGAAAAGTGGCATGCCTCTCTCTACCCAGCTTCAGGGCGGAGCTCACCAGTGGAAAGTCTGAAGAAAGAGTCAGATACAGACCGCCCTTCCCTGGTGCGCAGAATAGCCGGTGAGTACATAGTCATTAATAAATGGGGGCACTGATTTGGTTTCCTTGTTGGCCATGAGAGTTTTATGTACTGAAGAGAAATCATCAGAAAACTGATTTATTAGCTAGGTTTTTCTTTTTTTTCTTTTTAATATTTTAAGTTCTTTTTAATATTGAATGTATGTAGGTAAGTGCACCCATGCTGTGCAGTGCCCACGGAGGACAGAAGAGGCTGTCAGATCCCCTGGAACTGGAGTTACAGACAGTTGTTAGCTGCCATGTGGGTGTTGGGATTTGAACCTGGGTCTTCTGCAAGAACAGCCAGTGTTCTTAACCGCTGAGCCATCTCTCCAGCCCCTTAGCTAGGTTTTTCTAATTAGCATAGTAAAAGTCATAGTCACAGTCTTCCTAAATAACTGTGGCAAGTTAGGCTTTTTCAGCTAAAAATTTGTCTTAACTGGTGTGATGGTTAGTGTTGACAGCTTCACAGGATCTGGAATCACCTAGGAGACAAGCCTCCAGGCATAACTGTGAAGGACTGTTTAGCCAGTACATCCCTGTGAGGGATTGTCTTGTTTAGGATAAGTAGGGAGATCCATTTTAACAGTAAGTGGAACTGTTCTCTGGGGAATCCTGGACTGTATAAAATGGAAAAAGTAAGCCGAACACTAGCATGCATCTATATTCTCTGCTTGATTATGGTCGTCTTGTGACCAGCTCCTTCAACCTATTTCTGCCTTGACTTACTTGCCAATTATGAATTGTATCCTTGAACTTTGAGATAAAATAAACTTTAAGCTGTTCTGGTCAGCATATCTTATCACAGAAACAGGAAAAGAAACTAAGCTGGGGCTACAACTTAGTTGGTGGAGTGCTTGCCTAACACTGAATCAGGCACAGTGCAAGTCTGTAGTCCCAGACTCAGGAGGTGGGAGGAGGATCAGAAGTTCAAGCACATTTTCAGCTACATACCGAGTTTGAGGCCTAAGCTAAGAGAGACCCTGTCTCAAAACAAACAGAAGTGCCATTGTCTTTCAATGACATGGTAGGTAATGTGGTCATGCTTCCTGTAATTTACAAGATAAATGCATAGGCATCAATCAGTTCCTATAGTTGATACTGGACTATAATCTGAATGCAGGATTTGGAAATTGTGAGACTAATGTTTGACCTTCTATATTTTGAACTTTTAAACTAGAAAAGGTATTTATAGGTGAAATGCAAGTGTGGCAATATAAAAACCAGTCAAGAAACTTGATGAAAGGAGGCAGAGGCAGATGGATCTCTGTGAGTTCAAGGCCAGCCTGGTCTACATAGTGAGTTCCAGGACAGCTGGGGCTACAAGGAGACCCTGTTTCAAAAAGACCAAAAAAAAAAAAAAACCAAAGAAAATATAGTTGATTATGGTTTAAGACAGAAGATTCTTATACATAGTCTGTCACAACACTGAGTGGAGTAATGTCCTGCAAACAATTTATTCTAACAGAATAATTAAAGATATGTACAGTGACTTTATTAAAGTGATCAAAACATCGGAACCTAAATATACAATAGTGGAAATAGGCCAATTAAAAATTTTTTTATTTATTATTTTTATTTTATGTGTATGCATGTATTGCCTGCATGTAGATAAGTGCACCCGTGTTGTGCAGTGCCCTCAGAGTTCAGAAGAGGCTGTCAGATCCCCAGGACTGGAGTTACGGACAGTTGTTGGCTGCCATGTGGGTGCTGGGATTTGAACCCAGGTCTTCTGCAAGAACTACCAGTGTTCTTAACCACTGAACCATCTCTCCATCCCCCAGACAACAATTTTAAACTTGGATCAGACCTTGTTTATCAGGGCTTTGAATGTATAGTACTTCAGGTTTGCATTAAAAACACTTTGCCTAACTCAGCACCACAATTTCTCTTTAAGTTTTACATAAAGATGCCTTTAAATTAGAATTTGAATATGAAAAAAAAGAATTTGAATATGGAACCAAGTTTAAAGTTCTTTAATTTACTCTTATTTTATGTGTATGAATGTTTTGCTTGCATGTATGCAGTGCCAGGGAGGCTAGAAGAGGGCGTCGGATCCCCTGGAACTAAAGTTACAGACAATTCTTAGCTGCCATGTGGGTTCTGGGAATTGAACCCAGGTCTTCTGCAAGAGCAGCAAGTGTTCTTAACTATTAAGCCATCTCACCAGTGCCTGGTTTTGTTGTTGTTGTTGTTAATTTTTGTTTTGCTGCAGGGTCTTCCTGCCTGGTATTGTTTTTGGTTTTTTGATTGTTGTTTTGAGACAAGTTCACACTTTCACTCAGGCTAGCCTTGAACTCAAAAATAATAATCTTCCTGTCTTAGCCTCCCAAGTGTTGAGATTACAGGTAAGGGCCACGTCACCTGGCTATAAATATAGTTCATTTTTTTTGTGTGAATATACATCTTTTCACTTTTTATTAAAGAGGCAACTTTTTAAGTTTTTTTTTCAAATACTGACATTTGTTTTATTAGTGGACTAAAAATTACATGGGTAAGGTCTTTGAGTCAAAAGCAAATTATTATGAAATAATTATTAGCCATTTATTATGAAATACATTTACTGCTCTGAAGAGAGAAAAAGATTGTCTTATTTAAATCTATAGAAATGTGTAAAAACAAAATTAAAAAGGGTGTTTGAGATGGCTCACCAGGTAATGGTCACTTGCTTGCTGACAACCTGATTCTATACCCAGGACATACTTGGAAGGAGAAAACCTAACTTCCACAAATTGTCCTCTGACCTCCACATGAGTCCCATAGCATAGAGGCACCCACCTATATATACACACATTAAAGAAATAATAATGTTTTGTTGGGCATGGTCGCGCATACCTTTAATCCTAGCACTCGGGAGGCAGAGGTGGGTGGATCTCTGTGAGTTCAGGGCCAACCTGGTCTACATAGTGAGTTCCAGGTCAACAGGGGCTACAGGGAGACCCCGTCTAAAAAAAAAAAACCCAAAGGAAATAATAACGTTTTTAAAATAATAAATACATGCTTTTTACACTGAACTGACTGCTAAGCCCAGTTGTAGAGATGACTCTTTTTTCAGCCTTTTCCCTTCTCCTACCAGTCCTGGACATTAATATCTAGAGAAGAAAATACCCATATTGGTTTGCTTAACCTTCTCTTTCTGGCATCTTTTCAGATCCACGAGAGCGCGTGAAAGAAGATGACTTAGATGTTGTTCTCAGCCCACAGAGACGAAGCTTTGGAGGGGGCTGCCACGTGACGGCTGCTGTTAGCTCCCGACGCTCTGGAAGTCCTTTGGAGAAAGACAGTGATGGGCTTCGCCTGCTTGGTGGACGAAGGATTGGCAGTGGGAGGATAATCTCTACCCGGACCTTTGAGAAGGACCATCGTCTTAACGATAAGGACCTGCGAGACTTAAGAGATAGAGACCGCGAGAGGGACTACAAGGACAAGCGTTTCAGGGTTTGTCTTCTAGATTCTTTGGTAACTCGGTGCTTGGAAACTTGAAATCCACTTCATTTATACTGGGTTACTTTGATTTTTGTTGTTTTTGTGATGGTAGGGAATCAAACCCAGGGCCATCACACATGTTAGCAAGTGCTCTGCCACTGAGCTGCGACCCTCTGACCCTGCCAGTTATTTTGAGACGCCAGATGAACACTGCCCACTTTTTTTTTTTCAATCTTTTTGAGAAAGGGTCTCCCTTGTAGCCCCAGCTGGCCTGGAACTCACAGAGTTTCACCTGCCTCTGCCTCCTGAATGCTGGGACTAAAGGTGTGCGCCACCATGCCTGGCAACACTGCCCACCCTTAAACTGGACAAGGAGAACTGGAACTCAGTGGCAGAGCAGCATGGTGATGGCCTCAACTTTACAGTGTACTATCTTCATTTCACTATTTAGCGTTAATTCATTAATATCTTCATTATGGTACAGATGTATTGGGACTGGAGAGATGGCTCCATAACTCCAGTTCTAGGGGATCCAGCATCCTCTTCTGACCTCCATGAGCATTGTACACAAGTTGTGCACTTACATACATGCAGGCAGTACACTCATACACAGAAAATAAAAATAAATACTTTTTTAAAATGTCTTATTATTTTTTTATTTTATGTATATGCATGTATTGCCTGTATGTAGGTGAGTGCACCTGTGTCGTGCAATGCCCATGGTGTTTAGAAGAGGCTGTCGGATCCCCTGGGACTAGAGTTAAGGACAGTTCCTAGCTGCCATGTGGGTGCTGGGATTCGAACCTAGGTCTTCTGCAAGAACAACCGGTGTTCTTAACTGCTGAGCCGTCTCTCCAGCCCCCATAAAAATAAACACTTTTTTTTTTGGTCTTTTTGAGACAGGGTCTCCCTGTAGCCCCAGCTGTCCTGGAACTGTAGACCAGGCTAGCCTTGAACTCACAGAGATCCGCCTGCCTCTCCCTCCCGAGTGCTGGGATTAAAGGCATGTGTCACCACGCCCGGCATAAATACTTTTTTAAAAGTATAGATGCTTTGACTGGAATTTTGGTTTCTTTAGTCTTGCTTTTTCTACTTTTCCAGAGGGAGTTTGGGGATAGTAAACGTGTCTTTGGTGAACGTAGAAGAAATGATTCGTACACTGAAGAAGAACCAGAGTGGTTCTCAGCTGGACCCACAAGTCAGTCTGAAACCATTGAACTGACTGGCTTCGACGATAAGATGCTAGAAGAAGATCACAAAGGTAGAAAAAGAACAAGGCGAAGGACGGCCTCTGTGAAGGAAGGTCAGCACAAACTTGAAGGAAGGCTCATTGTTTTAAAATAATATGTGATTATTAGTAGTTTAATTGCACATTTAGGGATGAGCACCGATTGTAACTGGCCAGTTTTTAGTGTTGCAACTTAATTTTGAAACTGCTTTGTGAGAATTCAGTTAGCGTGGATTATTATGTCTCATCAAATTCTGTCTACCATACTAAACAGAAAAGTGTGTCACATTACCCTGTGAGCACTGTGTATGTGGAGAGCTCTCCACAAGTTTAAGGCAACTTCAGCTCTATGATGAGTTTCAGTCTTTCAGGGCTTTGTATTGAGACTTTGTCTCATAAAGAAAGTAAAAATTCTTCACAGATGAAAAATGTTGTAAAAGTAAAGAGGGCTTTCATTTGCTGAGTGATTATGTACATACTTTAGTATTTCTGTAGAGTGACCATTGTCACAGTCCTATGCAGGATAGGTACTTCCCATGTCATGATAAACAATGGAAGCTCAAGGGCTGAAGTGATTATCTGTCACTATAAAGTATGAAAAAGGAAAAGGGATTGTCTTTTTTTGTTTGTTTTAAAATATTTATTTTTATTTTATGTGTATGAGTGCATTGCCTGCATGTATGTAAGTGCACTCATGTACTGCAATACCCTCAGAGGTCAAAAGAGGATGTCGAATACAGATGGTTGTCAACTGCTATGTTGGTGCTAGGAATGAAACCTGGGTCCTCTGCAAGAGCAGCTAGTGCCTCCTAACGTGTTGAGCCATCTCTCCAGCCCTGAAAACAGATGGTCTTTGACAAAAATTTAATGAATAGCCTGTTTGTAAAGACTATGCCTGTTGTATCTAAGGCATACCTTTAGCATGATGATGAAATGGGCTTATCAGAGCTTAGGCCCCACTGGGCACTTCATAAAATCTAGTTCTTTCCAGCCTTCAGGCTTAGTTGAAAATAAAAGGGGGGGGTGCTTTTTGGCATATATTAATAGAAAGGGAATGTACTTTTAATACATAGTGGATGATTGGTTCTTACAATGAAGTTAAGACAAACTTAAATGGGGGCTTGGAAAGATGGCTCAGTGGTAAGAGAACTGGCTTTGCAGAGGACCCAGGTTCCATTCCCAAGACCCACATGGCAGCTGAAAGCTGAGAACTATCCATTGCTCTAGTTCTAGGGCATCTGATCTGCTCTTCTGGCCTCCACAGTCATGGCACAACACAGGTGCACTTACATACATGCAGGCCAAACATTCATATACATTAAAAAAAAAAAAAAAAAAAAAAAGTTGGGCGCGATGGCGCATGCCTTTAATCCCAGCACTTGGGAGTCAGAGGCAGGTGAATCTTTGTGAGTTCAAGGCCAGCCTGGTCTACATAGAGTTCAGGACAGCTGGGGCTACAGGGAGACCCTGTCTCAAAAAGACGCCCCCCCCCAAAAAAAAAAAAAAAAAAAACCTAAGTGGGAATAAGCTTAATAGAATATATTTAGAAGCAAGAAAAGGGGGAGAAGTCATATTTCCTGTCTTTTTGTACAGTCTTTAAATTCAGTAGGTATTGTCACATTTTCTTGTATGATACAGGAAATTGATAGGTAACTTGGAGGATTTGCAGTTTGTCTTTGAGATATGTCTTTGTCCCACTCTCCATTAGAATAAAGTAGCATCAGACAGTATGGCTTTTTAGCTAATGATGGAAATTAAGATTCTGTTAGAAAACATGTTATCCATGACCAAGATGAAATTATAGATTTCAGCCATTGTTGGTTGGTTTGTGAACAAGGTCTCATGTAGCCCAGGCTGGTTTCAAGCTCAGTATGTTATTGGGGATGACCTTGATTTCTAATCTTCCTGTCTCTACCTCACTATAATCCTTAGTGCTGAGATTGAAGGTATGTGTCACCACACCTATCATGTTACTAGTTTTTTATTTTGTGTGTATTTTGCCTGCATGTAAGTGCCAAGACACCACATGCATGCAGTGCCCATGGAGGCCAGAAGAGGGTGTCAGATCCCTTGAAAGTGGAGATAAGGATAGTTGTTAGTCACCATATGGATGCTGGGAACCAAACCCAGGTCCTCTGCAAGCACAGCCAGTGCTCTTAACTGTTGAGCCATCTCTGCATACCCACGGGTTTTTTTGTCTGTTTTTTTTTTTAATAGTTTTTACTTATTTTCATTTTATGTGTATGAGTCTATTGCCTGAATGTGTATAAGTGCACCTGTGTCGTACAATGCCTGTGGAGGTCAGAAGAGGCCATCAAATCCCCTGGAATTGGAATTACTGATGGTTGTTAGCCTCCATTCGGGTGCTAGGAATCGAATTCAGGTCCTCTGTAAGAGCAGTCAATACTCTTAACCACTGAGCCATCTCTCTAGTCCAGCCCCATGTTTTTTAATCTAATTTTTGTGTGTAGTGCTACAGGAATTAAACCCAGGACCTCTGTGTGTTAGACAGCCTACTCTGAGCTACATGCCCAGCCTCACAAGTTTTTTGTCTAGTTTTGGTTTTGTATTTTGGTTCTTTCTGTCTTTTTGAGACAGGGTCTCCTTGTAGCCCCAGCTTTCCTGTAACTCACTATGTAGACCAGGCTGGCCTCAAACTCAGGAAGATCCACCTGCTTCTGCCTCCCGAGTGCTAGGATTAAAGGCGCCACCACACCCAGCTTTGTTTTGTTTTTAACATAGGATCTGACTTTGAATTCACTGTGCATTCAAGGATGACTTTGAATTTGTGATCTTCCTGCCTCTACCTTCTGAGTTCTGAGATTACAGGCCTGCACTTCTAGGCCCAATTTTATACAGTACTAGGGAATTGAACCTAGGGCTTCATATATGCCTTGTTTGTTTTGTTTTGTTTTGTTTTTTTAATTTTTATTTTATGTGTACGAGTGTATTGCCTGCATATAGGTAAGTGCACCCGTGTCTTGTAATGCCTGTGACTATGAGGACAGAAGAGGCCGTTGGATCCCCTGGAACTGTAGTTACAGATAGTTGTTAGCTGCCATGTAGGTGCTGGGATTCGAATCCAGTGTTCTTAACTGCTGATCCATCTCTCTAGCCCCTGTTTTGAGTTTTTTTGGTCTTTTTTTGAGACAGCATCTCCCTGTAGTCATAGCTGGCCTGGACTCGCTATGGAGACCAGTTGTTCTCTTTTTTAACTCTTAATGGTTTTGCTTTTTGCCCATAGTTTGGCTAAAATGAAGGTAGTATGAACCTTAAGTTTTAGCAACTGGTACTTTGCTTACCCCATCTTCCCATCCTAAAAAGAAGTGAGCATTAGTGAATTTCTAATATATCTGCCCTGGTAGAGTAAGCCATAGTTGATTAGAACAGGTCATCTCCCACCAGAGATATTTCTCACCAGAGATACTGTAATAAACTGAGAAGTACTCAGAGCCAACTTAAGAATTAACACAAGAAGGGCAGTGATTAATTCACTGGGTAGACAAATGTGCTTCATAGGGCAAAAAACAGGTAGGGTAGGTAGGCTTCCTAGAAAGGGTGATACTCAGACTTTACATTGAGATGGGCTCCAGTCAGCCAATAGACTAGAGAAAATTGCTGTTGTGCAAGTTTCACATAGTAAGTGCTGAACCCCCACTTAAAGTGGTGATATCCGATGCCTGTGTAAAGACAGAGCAGTTAATTTGGCTTCATTTGTAAGAAGAGACTTGCAAACATTTTTCAAAAATTTTTTTCTATTAGAAAAAGAATCTGCCTGGTCTACATAATGATTTACAGGCCAGCTGGGCTACAAGGAGACTATATCAAAAAGACCAAAAAAGGGGGGCCGGGGGGCTTGCTGGAGAGATTGCTCAGTGGTTAAGAACATGGCTGTTCTTGCACAAGACCTGGGTTCGAATCCCAGCACCCACATGGAGGCTAACAACTGTCCATAACTCCAGTTCCAGGGGATCCAACAGCCTCTTCTGTCGGGCATTGCCCGACACAGGTCCGCTTACATACATGTAGGCAATGTACACATACATATAAAAATACTAAATTTTTTTTTTTTTTTTTTTAAAGACTCTGGGGCTTGGGGAGATTGCTGAGTTAAGGAGTTAAGAGTGCTTGTTGCTATTCCAGAGGACCCAGTTTTCATTCCCAGCACCCATATCAGGTGGCTTACAACCTGTAACTCCAGTTCCAGAGAATACAATGCCCTGTTCTGTCCTGGGCTGGAGGGGTGGGGCACACTCACATAGACATGTAAATAAATCTTTTAAAAAGAAAGAGGGGACCAGAGAGATGACTCCATGGTTAACACTACTGGGTGCTCTTGCAGAAGACTGGGGTTCAAATCAGCACCCACATGGCAGCTAACAACCATCCTTATCTCCAGTTCCAGGGGATCCAATACCCACTTCTGGCCTCTGCAGATATTGCACACATGTGCACACATGTGCATACATGCAGGTAAAACACTCATACTCATAATTTTTTTCTTTTTTTTTTTTTTGGTCTTTTTGAGACAGGGTCTCCCAGTAGCCCCAGCTAGCCTAGAACTCGCTATGTAGACCACACAGGCCTTGAACTCACAGAGATCTGCCTGCCTCTGCCTCTCAAGTGCTGGATTACAGGTGTGCGCCACCACGTCCAGCCTCATAAAATTATTTTAAAAAGAAAGAGTCAAGCCGGGCATGGTGGCGCACGCCTGTAATCCCAGTGCTTGGGAGGCAGAGGCAGGTGGATCTCTGTGAGTTCAAGGCCAGCCTGGTCTACGTAGTGAGTTCCAGGACAGCTGGGGCTACAGGGAGACCCTGCTTCAAAAAGACCAGGAAAAAAAAAAAAAAAAAAAAAAGAGTCCACTGCACTGTAGGAAACTTGACATACTTAGGAATAGAACCACAGTCTTTCTCCTACAGTGTTAACATTCTGGGTGCTTAATAAGAATTTTTCTCTCCAGCCTCCAGAAAAGGGGTAGTACCAAATGTTTTAGTATAGGAAGTACAGTACCTACACAAGATGTCTGTTTATAATCACATGTGGCTCATCTGTATGTGTATTAATGGCTGAGGCCATAGAGTGAGACTGGAGTGTACGCTTCATCAGGTGGTTTCTGTCCACCATTTTCAGGCTTAGTGGAGTGCAATGGAGGGATGGCTGAAGAAGACGAAGTGGAAGTCATCCTGGCCCAGGAACCCTCTGCTGACCAGGAAGTACCAAGGGATGCTGTCTTGCCAGAGCAGTCCCCAGGAGAATTTGACTTTAATGAGTTCTTTAACCTTGACAAGGTGCCGTGCTTGGCTTCGGTGAGTGGAACAACACATTTATAAATATGGGTGAAGGGTAAAGCACTTGCTATGCAAGTGTGAGGACTGAAGTTCAGATCCTTGGAACCCATAGGCTGGGTCAGCATGGTGGCCCACCTATAATCCTAGCACACAGAAGTGGAGGCAAACACCCTGGAGCAAGCTGGCTAGCTAGACTAGCTGAATCAGTGAGCCCTGTGTTCAAGTGAGAGACCTTTCCTCAGTTTATAAGGTGGAAAGTAATTGAGGAAGATGCCCAACATCAACCTCTGGCCTACACTTGCATACATGCGCCCACACACACACAGGAACATGCATATACACACACCACACACATTTACAAAATAAAAACAGACATGGATGGATTCTGGGCATGGTGGTATATACCTGTAATCTCAGCACTTAGGATGTTGATACAGAAGGAATTTGAGTTTGAGGCTAGCTGGAGCTACATAGTAAGTTCCAGACCAACCTGACTGCACAGTGAAATGCTGTCTCCAAAACATTTTTTTAAAAATTTAATTAAAAAAGAATTAGGGCATGGTGGGAAACACCTTTGGTTCTAGCACTTGGGAGGCAGAGTCAGGCAGATCTCTGTAAGATTGAGGCCAGCCTGGTCTACATAGCAAGTTCCAGGCCAGCTGGGGCTACAGAGAGAACCTGTCTCAAAAAGACCAAAACAAAGTCAGACGTGGTGGCATGCATCTTCAATCCCAGCACTCGGGAGGCAGAGGCAGCCAAATCGCTGAGTTCAAGGTCAGCCTGATCTACATGGTAAGTTCCAGGCCAGCTGGGGCTACAGGGAGACCGTCTCAAAAAGACGACCCCCCCCCCCCAAAAAAAGTCTCCTTTTAATGTGATAAGTTTCTGCTGTGTTTCCCAGCTTGGCTTTGAACTATGAGACTCAAGTGATCTTTCTGCCTCAGCCTCCTGAGTAGCTGAGACCACAGATACTCACCATGGCATCCAGTGGTCTTTTGTTATTTGTGGTGAAGATGTTCTATGAAATAGCTTCTTATAACTGATTATTGGTGCCAACAGAGCAGGTAGAATTGGCCTGTCTCCTTGTCCTTTGACTGCTCCCCTAGACCCAAAAGTAGCCGCCCAGAATGAGCTAGAGCTGGCACAGCTAGGGTACAGGTCTACAGGTTAGTTCTAGGGCAATACTGTGATAGAGAACTAGGCTTCTTTTCCATTACAATATATAGTATAAAGCACAAATATCAGCAACACTAAGTTGCTATACAAACTTGTAAGCATTTAATCCTACTTTCTGAACTTCATGGTGTAGGCCAGTATGGTCCAGAACACATTTTTTCTGTAGCACTATTTTAGGAGCTTGTGGAAGACCACTCGGCATCCATCATGGAAACTAGCTGCTTGGTTTGCTCCTGCAGTTCTAGCAATGATTTTAATTTGTAAATCTCTTAGATCCCTCACTCACAGTCTCCTAACCTTTGTCCTTTGGTCACTCTCAAGAGTCATATGCAGATGTGAACCTCATTTACTTAATGTAAAACTACATAGTCTTCTTAAATTCTCAGCTTCTGAGAGTAATATTTTTTTTATTTTTGCATCAACTACTTAGTGACTTTTTGTTATTTACAATCTCTTAGAAGATAGAAATCTCACTGTTGAAAGCTTTCACAGCACAAAGTCATTTCACAGACCTATACACAGCTCCAAATGTGAGTACCTTCAAAATTCTTCCTATGTGCATAGAGGAAGAATTTACTCTTAATCCAAAGTGCTAAGTCTCAGCTTTTTAAAAATAATTAATATGCATACGATGCTGATTGAGGCTTTATATGTAGGAGGTCATTTAATCTTTATACATTAATCACAAATCCCTCATCAGATGGTTTATTGCTGCCTCTCTTTTTTCAGATGAGGAAATAGGCATAAAATTTAGGCAATGTACTCAGTTACACAACTAGTAAATAGTGGACACTGAACTTGTAACTTACACAGGATAAGTTTCTTCTTGTCAGCACTGGGGAAGCAGAGGTAGGTAGATCTCTAAGTTTGAGGCTATCTGGTCTATATAGAGTTCTAGCCAACCAGGGCTACATAGTGAAACCCTGTCTCAAAAGTGAAAAAGAAAAGAAAAAAGTGTGTGTGTACATGCACACGTGCTCATGCAGGTTATTTATAAGACAGAAGGACAACCTTAGATGTCATTCTTCAGAGACTATCCACTCTCTATTTGAATTCGCATATGAATTTGTGGGCTGTGTTCACTGGTATTGAGCTGCCTTAGAAATGGACAGGTTACTGGGCATGGTGGCGCGCGCCTTTAATCCCAGCACTTGGGAGGCAGAGGCAGGTGGATCTCTGTGAGTTCAAGGCCAGCCTGGTCTACATAGCGAGTTCCAGTACAGCTGGGGCTACCAGGAGACTCTGTCTCAAAAAGACCAAAAAAACAAAAAAGAAAAAGAAAAAAAGAAATGGACAGGTTGACAGCCATAAAAATACCAATCACGCGCAAATAAATTTAAATTTTATTTTATGTGTATGAGTATTTTGCCTGCATGTATATAAGTGCACCTGTGTCATGCAGTGCCTATGGAGACCAGAAGAGGGTGTCATATCCCCTGGAACTGGAGTTATGGACAGTTGTTAGCCACCATGTGGATGCAGTTTACAGGAGCTGGAGAGATGGCTCAGCAGTAAGAGCACTGGCTGATCTTGCAGAGGACCCAGGTTTGATTCCTAGCACCCACATGGTGGGTAACAGCCATCTATAACTCCAGTTACAGGGGACCCAGTGCCCTTTTCTGTCCCCCGAGGGCACTGCATGACATGGGGTACACTTACATACATGCAGGCCATACACTCATACAGATTAAAAAATAATAAAAATTTTTTTTAATGGCTACACACACTCTAGTTTGTCAGTAACATGTCTGGGTGCTCTGTGTTCCTGCCCTCCTTCATGTTCTGTGTGCCTTTGACGTCTCTACTTATTTAGCAAGGTAACAGAAAATGTGTTAAAAGTAAAGCCATCATTTTCGGCATATGTAAAATTTCAAAAAAAAATTGCAATGGATTAAGAATTTTGTCTTCAAATGCCTGGTGTGGTGACATTTGCCTTTAATTCCAGCCCTCAGTAGGCAGAGGCAGGTGGATCTTACGAGATCAAGGCTACCCTGTTTCAGTGTGACTTCTAGTTGGGCTGTGACTAGGGAGACCCTGTGAAAAATCAACAACAACAAAAAGAATTTTACCTGTAAATTTTGTTTATCTTTACCTGGGGTTACGTGTGCTACAGGGTGCCTATAGCAGCCAGGAGACAAGTCTGTGGAGTAGTTCTCTCCATCCACGTTTATATGGGTCTTGGCATAAAGTTGGGTTATCAGGCTTCATGGCAAATGCTTTTTCCACTGATCATCTCACTGGCCCTAAAATTTCAAATTTTCAGACATTGAAACATTTTGCATAACTGTAGCTTTCAGTATTTTTGTATAATTCCTGTTTATTACCAAGATGGTTGTGTTTAGCCTATAATCAATCTTCCATTTTTTTCCTCCACTGGAAAACATCATTTATGATGCTTTTATACATAATGCAACATTAGTGTGCCTGAAAGTAGCATTATTGTCCTTTATTAAAAGAAAACATTTAGAAATTCCTCATTAAGTTCTAGCAATTTAGAGATAGTTTAGAATGGCATCTTTCACATTCTAAAACTTTGTAAACTTTGACTTGGAATTATCCTTCTTGTCTGTTTTTCCTTTTTTGAGACAGAGTCTCAATGTGTAGCCCAGGTTGACCTCAAACTGTCCTGCCTTAATTAACCTCACCAGGTGCTCTAATACAGGTATGGGACACCACACTTGGTTGGGAAATTATGATCATTTTCAGTTCTGCATCTTTACCTTTTGGCTTCTTGAGGTTGTCAAGGTTGAATTTATGATGTTCCTTTCAACTCTACGTCCACAGACTGGAAGCCAGGGTTTTCTTTCATTGTTTCTCATAAATGGTTGTCTGACTGAAGGGTTTCAACTTGGCAGCAGATTGTGTCACTCTGGTGCTGATCAAGGTTTTGAAATTGAATCCCCTGAGAATACAGATTTTTGAATGTGGCAAAGGATAGAAAACCAAAACACTTTGAGTAACAGATTTTGCTATATGTGCTTAGAGAATATATGATTGGTTATGCCTGTGTTTGAGTGGCTCAGAAAAGGCACAGGAAGGGGAAACAAGGTTCAAAATCATAAGCTTTGAAAATGCCTTCAGGTCAGCAGAATCAGGAGGTTTCAGAGGGAATGACTTAACATTTTGAACTTTTGTGTGCTTTTCCATCTAGAAACCTTAGAGCCCTTTTGCCTTTCTCTTTAGATGATAGAAGATGTTTTGGGAGAAGGGTCAGTGTCTGCCAGTCGGTTTAGCAGGTGGTTCTCGAACCCAAGCCAGTCAGGAAGCAGGTCCAGCAGCCTTGGATCAACACCACATGAAGAGCTGGAAAGACTCGCAGGTAAAATAGCTTCAGATGCTGCTTTAATATTGACTTGAGCCTTTGTTAGGGGTTTATTAGGGTCAAAGGGGTTTTGGATACTGAATAGTCTTCAATTTTTCTTTTAGTGCTGTAGAAGGAAAGTTTCTGTGCTTAATGGGACCAATTCTGGATCTGTTTATTTACAAAATCAGGTCTGGAACAAGCCATCCTCTCTCCTGGACAGAACTCGGGCAATTATTTTGCTCCTATACCATTGGAAGACCATGCTGAAAATAAAGTGGACATTTTAGAAATGCTACAGAAAGCCAAAGTGGATTTAAAACCTCTTCTTTCTAGCTTGTCTGCAAATAAAGAAAAACTTAAGGAAAGCTGTAAGTGTTATATGAGACTCTGTTCTAGCTGTCTTAAGTTCACATACTCTTTTTTGGAGATAGGGTCTCCTTATAGCCACAGCTGGTGTGGAACATTCTATGTAGACCAGGCTGGCCTCAATCCCTCCCTGCCTCTGCCTCCTGAGTCCCTCCCTGCCTCTGCCTCCTGAGTCCCGGGCTTAAAGGCATGTGTCATCACATGCCCAGTGTTTTTTTTTTTTTTTTTCCGTCTTTTTGAGACAGGGTCTCCCTGCAGCCACAGCACCTGGAACTCACTGTGTAGAGTAGGCTGGCCTTGAACTCATAGAGATCCATCTGCCTCTGCCTCTTGAGTGCTGGGATTAAAGGTGTGCACCACAACACGTGGCTCATACCCCATAGTTTTAACCTCCCAGTCTCAGCATCTAAGCTGTCATGACAGCCAAAGAGATTTCCCACCAAACATCCCTTTGCTTGGTGTAACCAGAACTTTCTCAACTTTCAGCACATTCAGGGGTTGTGCTTTCAGTAGAAGAGGTAGAAGCAGGACTCAAGGGCTTGAAGGTAGACCAGCAAGTGAAGAATTCAACTCCCTTCATGGCAGAGCATTTAGAGGAGACCCTGAGTTCTGTAACCAGTAATCGACAACTCAAGAAAGATGGAGATATGACTGCATTCAACAAACTAGTGAGCACCATGAAGGCAAGTGGGACATTGCCTTCTCAGCCCAAAGTCGGTGTAAGTATTCAACACAAATCTCACCCAGCCTTTCTCCATTCTCTTCTTTCTATATCATGTCCCACTTCAATAAGTAGACTTTGACAAAGCTGTTCTGAGAGGTTAGGAATTCTGTAGTAGTTTGGTTCTTGATGCTTTTGTTTGTTCCTTAATTGTTGATTAAGAAAAGTGTAGAGGGGCTGCAGAGTTGGCTCAGCGGTTAAGAGCACTGACTGCTCTTGCAAAGGGCCGGGGTTCAATTTCCAGCACCCACATGGCAGCTGTGAACTGTCCTTAACTCCAGTTACAGGGGAATCAGAAGCCCTCTTCTGCACAACACGGGTGCACTCACATACATGCAGGCAATACACTCATACAAAATAAAAATAATAAATAAAATATGAAAAAAAAGAAAAGCATAGAAAAAGTGTGCCTGTGGTTAATGTGTATGACAGGATGATTGAATAATTCAGTCTTTCAGTGCCTGTGTAACTTTATTGTCACTTCTTAAAAAGGAATAGAATTGAGTTGGAGATGTAGCCCAGTAGTAGAAACATGCCTAGCATGTGTAAAGCCACCCTTGCCAAAAGAGTGGTGGAGAGAGTTCTCTTTTTGAGCTGAACTAAACATAGTGGTAGGTGCTTGTAACCCTAGCATTTGAGAGGTGGAGGCAGGAGACTCAGGAACTCAAGACCAGCCAGGGCTACATAAGACCCTGTTTGTAAAACAATAAGCAACAACAACAAAAAATAGTTATCTTTTTAGATAAGTTCCAGAAGAAGCTAACTGGTTATTTAATATAACTTTTTTTTTTTTTTTTTTTTTTTTTTTTGAGTCAGGGTTTCCCTGTAGCCCCAGCTGTCCTGCAACTTGCTATGTAAACCAGGCTGGCCTCAAACTCACAGAGATCCGCCTGCCTCTGCTTCCCAAGTGCAGGGACTAAAGGCATGCGCCATCACACCCAGCAATTTCCTGTTTTCTTGATTAGGCACCCAGTAGTCACAGAAATTTTATCAAAGATGGAGCTGGGCATAGATGGAGGCACTTGCCTCCCTCCATCTTGCCTTCTCCATCTTTGCACACCTATAATCCCAGAACTACCTGGGAAGTAGAAGCAGGACAGTTGAGAGAGACCCTATCTTTTGGCATGGGCCTGGGAGCAGGGGAGCAAAGATTTTAAAAGACAGTTGCATTCTGTTAGTAATAGAAAAAAGCAGTAATTTAAAAAAAAATTTTGTTTTTAATAATTTTTTTGTGTATGAGTATTTTACCTGCATGTATATAATTGCATCTATGTCATGCAGTGCCCTCAGAGGTCAGAAGAGGGCATCAGATCCCCTGGACCTGGAGTTGAGACAGTTGTTAGCCACCGTGTGGGTGCTGGGAATTGAACCTGGGTTTTCTGCAAGAACAGTCAGTGCTCTTAACCGCTGAGCCATCTCTCTAATCCTGTAACTTTTTTTTTTAAACTTTGAAGCATAAAGCTAACTTATTCATTGTTCTAAGCTTTGTCATAACAATGTTTAGAGTCAGCCATGACCTTTGGATTATGCTGTCCTTTGATGATACAAAGTGATAGGGATGCAGGGTAGAACTGAATGATGAAGACAATTGAGTTTTGCCTCATTTTTCTCCTGAACCCTTTTTATGTGAGGTTTTGCAGGGGAGGCGCTCTGAACCCTTTTGGATTGGGAATGCTAAGGTGTGAGGAACCGTTAGATGTTTGATTCACTATGTGTTTTTAAAATTTTTATTACATTTCTATTTATTTTGTGTGCATATTTGTGAGCACATGTGTGCCACAGCACATTTACGGAGGTTAGAGCACAACTTGTGGGAGTCAGTTCTCTCCTTCCACCATGTGAGTCCTGGTAGTCTAACTCAGGTCATCAGGCTTAGCCTTTGTCCACTGAACCAAACTTACCAAATCTGATTCACTATGTGCTATACCCTTGACAGGAACTGATTCTCAGCTTTCCATATCTTCTGACCAACACTTAACAAGAAACTTCACCTGCTAAATCACAATGAGGTGTAGTTCTTGGAAGAGGGCATCTCAGTCTTTTTTATTTTTTCTGTCTTTTTGAGACAGGGTCTCCCTGTAGCCCCAGCCGTCCTGGAACTCATTATGTAGACCAGGCTGGCCTCGAACTCACAAAGATCCGTCTGCCTCTGCCTCCCAAGTGCTGGGATTAAAGGTGTGCGCCACCATGCCCAGCCAGACTTCTTTCTTTATATCAAGTTCTGTACCATAGTAATTACAGGGGACTGAGCCTATGAACTGCTTTAGAGTTATTTCCACACAAAATAATAGATAACAATTGCTTTCAAATGAGGGTCATATTGGAAGGTTGAAAATTATCCTCTTATCAGACAGGATGGCACACATTTATAATCCCAGTATTTGGGAGGTAAAGGTAGAAGGATTGCAAATTTCAGGCCAACCTGGACCACCTAATTCATGCCTGCCCTGAGCTATACACCAAGGGCGGGGGTGTAACTCAACTCTCTGCCCTTCCTTCTCTTACCTTTGCATCTTGGTGTTTAGGTGCTGATTGTATCCAAAATATTGTCATTCAAATTCTCTGTTTTGTTTTTTTCCTTTGTTTCAGTATGAGTCTCCAAAGAAACGGAGGTAAAGGAAGCAGGAATGGTGGCATACACCTGTGACTCAGCACTTGGGAGGGCTGAGGCAGGAAAAGCATGGAAGTTTAAGACCAGTCTGGGCTACATCTCTAGGTAGACTGTCTCATAAAAACAAAAAAAGGCTATTGAGGTGGCTCAGCCGGTAAAGGTGCCTCCCACCAAGCCTGACAACCTGATTTCAATCCACACGACCCACATAGTTAAAGAGCCAACTCATGCAAGATGTTCTCAGACCATGGCACAGGAAGGGGGTGGGGTGCAGGCAGGAGAGGAACAGAAGGGAATTCAGTAGTTCCTATCTCAAACCAATGATTTTAAAGTATAGATGCAAGTGACTCAGAGTCATGAGTGTACTTGTTTTGATATTTGAGTTTCAGTGCTCTTTAAGTGTATTTGGTTTCAGTAAATGTAAGGGAATGACCTTAAGACACCTGCTAACAGGATGGATGATCTAATTGAAGTAGCTAGACAAAAATTAGCACAGACTCAAACTAGGAAAGTATCTATAGTTCTTGATTTGCATGTTGTTAGGGCCTGGTCCCCTTCCAAAGTCTGTCTTTAACTCCTATTGCCATATACTGTTTCTCATCTGATTATCAAGTGAATGAAGAAGTTATCTTTAATCCCAGAATTAGACATGTTGGTTCAACCTGTACTTTGTATTACATGGAACTGTAGACTTTATCCTCCAGATACAACAAGTCATATTAATATAAAGTTGCCTATTTGTTTTAGTTAGATGGAATTAAGTTACTCTTAGATGCTTTTTATTAAAACCACCAGTGTTTAGCCCCAATTCCAAACTAACAGTAAAACACTTGGGACATTGCTTTGGTCTTTGACAGCTTTGACGGGAGGATTGTATCAGAGAAAGCACTACAGGCTGAGCATATGGATATCTTGAGGTACAGGAGTGGATACAAGTCAAATGTACAAAACATGACCATTGCTGTATTCAAAGAGGGACAGTAAATGTGAATTTTACCCTGAATAGGAGACATATTTTGAGGAGCTTAATTTAAAATAGTAACGTTTAAGTTTCCTGAAATATGAAACTGAAGTGTAACAGTTCTGGCCAGATTTGCAGGTTGTTTACTGTTTTTGTTTTAATTTTTGTGGCACTAAGTATCAGACCATGACCTGGCACATGCTAGGCAAGTGCTACACCACTCAGCTCACTGGCTGTCTTATTAATTTATTATTTTCTTGTGTATATGAATGTATTCCTTGCATGTATGTAAGTGCACTCATGTCATGAAGTGCCCATGGAGGCCAGAAAAGGGCATCAGATCCCCTGGAACTGGAGTTTCAGATAGTTGTTAGCTGCCATGTAAGTGCTGGGATTTGAACTGAGGTTTTCTGCAGGAGCAGTCAGTGCTCTTAACTACTGAGCCATCTCTGCAGCCCCTGATTAATTTATTTTTGAGACAGTCTAACTGTGTAGCCCTGGCTGACTTTTTAAGTTCATGATCCTCCTGCCTCAGCCTCCAGAGTACTCGAAGTACAGGTATGCATCATTATTGTGCCTAGCTTTAGTAGGTTTTTCATACCATCTTTGGCTAATAAATCTTGTTAAAGATAATGATCCCTAAAGGTTCCTTTAAAAATTAAAATTTGCTGGGTATGGTGGCCCAAGCTTTGATCCCAGCACTCGGGAGGCAGAGGCCTGCCTGGTCTACATAGTGAGTTCTAGGCCAGCAGGAGCTCTAGGGAGACCCTGTCTCAAAAAGACCAAAAAAAAACAACAAATTAAAATCTAGAGGCTGGAGAGATTGCTCAGTGGTTAAGTATACTTGCGGCTCTTGCAGAGGACTCAGGTTTGGTTCCTAGCACCAACCTGGCATCTAACAACCGTCCATAACTCCAGTGCCAGAGGATCCTATGGCCTCTTCTGGCCTCTGTGGGCATTGCACACATGTGATATAAACACTCATAAATAAAAATGAATAAACAAGCCGGGCGTGGTGGCACACTCAGGAGGCAGAGGCACTCGGGAGGCAGAGGCAGGCGATCTCTGTGAGTTCAAGGCCAGCCTGGTCTACATAGTGAGTTTCAGGACAGCT